TTGACATCTCCCATGAGTGCGAGTTAGGGCTAGCAGTAGGCAGCTAGCCGGTGAGGAGAGCGTCCATAGACACCTCACATGACCCCACACACGGTCTCGCCCATGCCTTGCGGCTGGCGGCGAGATTGCTAGAGGCGGAGCAAGCCTGCTCTAGTCTCACATGTTACTTCCTGTCGTCTGTTGTCTCTTTTTTGTGCCCTTGTTTGTGTCCTTTGGCACGTTGGAGTGCTGGGGGGGGCGACAGGGAGAATGTGGGCCTGAGTTATGTGTACGCCAACTCCGGGTGTGTGGCAGCCAGGTGGCTGTGTGTCTTGTGAGCCTGTTTGTGTCTGTGTGTCGCTCGTGCGTGTCGTCATCATCTGTCCAGCGTCCACCCATACCGCGTTGGTGTCCAGTCCGAGCCTGGCTGTTCTTCACCTTCCTACATACATACATAGCCTGTCTGGAAAGAAAGAAAGAAAGAAAACAGACACAGCCCAAACGAGGGATGGGGGAGGATACAGGGTCCCCACCTGCACGAGAGCAGTTTACCCCAGGAATTCTTGTCTCGCGGCGCGCTGTTGTTGAGAGGCTGGTCGCACTTCAGCCGGTTGAGAGTCCGCGCGATGTTCCAGGAGGTCAAGCCGGAGGTCAAGCCGGAGGTCAAGCCGGAGGTCAAGCCGGAGGTCAAGCAGGAGATCAGCTCCACCTCCGCCGCCGACACGGGCCGCCGCGGCGGCGGCGGCAGCGGCGGCGGCAGCAGCGGTGCCGCCTCTGCCGGAGCCGCCGCGCCCGCCGCTGCCGGCGGCGGCGGAAAGCGGCGCAAAAAGGACCCTGACGCGCCGGCGGGCAAGAAGTCAGCGTACTGTTTCTGGGCGATTGATCAGAGAAAGGCACCCGAGTACGCGAGCATGTCGTTCGGCGAGCGCGAGAAACTGATTGCCGCACGCTGGAAGACGGTTGCGGAGGGCGACAAGACGCCGTTCCACGAGCTGGCCAAGAAGGACTCGGCGCGGCACGCCGATGAGATCCAGCGCTACACGCCCGCGATGGGCGGCGCGGCGCCGCCCGCCAAGGCGCCCGTCACCAAGAAGAAGGCGGCCAAGCCGAAGCGCGAGCTCGTGGTGCGGCTCGAGTCGACCAGCGGGCGCAGCTCGATCC